TATTTTCCTTCCTCGATAGCCTGTCTTGGTTGATATGGTTTTGGTTTTACAATGCACAACTGAAGATTGCTCCATTGCTGTTATCTGGTTAATTATTAACTTCTTGTTTTTTTTGTTTTCTCCTCAGATTGAAGAAGGTAGACCGCTTCCATCACCGAGCCATCTCAAAAGAAAAATAATCATCAAGAACAAGAAACTCAAACCAGAACAAGAAATGGAAGGTGAAAAACTAATCCTTTTTAGATACATTTCCTACTGAGAGGCGAAGAATTATTTTCTTCTTTATTGTGATAAGTATAAATATTTTAATTTGTCCTTCAGTAGACCTTAAATTGAGCTACTGAATTTCTTTTTTATTTCAAGTTTGCACTGATTTACAGCATCTTTAGCTTGGGAAAAAAAGAAATAAAATGGTGCAAGGCTTCAGTCAAATTGTCTATTAATTATTATGTCAAATGTCGACTCTGGTCTTATTTTTCCCTTTAGATTTCAGTGAACTGCTTAGCGATTATGAACCCACTGACTCTTCAGGTAATGTGGTGGTCAGATTTGCACAGAAATAAAATATTTATAAGCTTAAAATAGGGTTATTAATTTGACTATCATTCAGATGTTAGGTAATGACAATGTGGGTGATAACTGCATACAAGATGTAAGAACTGGAAAAAATTCAAGAACTTACATTGAGCTAGGGAGGCATTCAGTTTTATTGGAATTACCTATTTTGGCCTTCCATTGTTGGCCATAACATCTGACTGCTAGGAAAAGGTTGCTAATCAAAGTGAGGTTTTGCTGAAGACCTATTCTTGTTCATGAATGATCACCATTTGAGAGCAGAATGAAAAAAAAAAGATTGATGATTGAGTTATTTCTTGAAGACTGGTCAGCCACCTCTGGTAACTAGTATTGAAATACTGGCAGTTAGCATTTATTCTTTGGTTCCATTGCCAACCAGCTGGTCTCAATTTCAGATGCTGATAGTTATTTATTTCTATGTTGATATTCTTATTCAGGTTACCGTGCAGGAAGCATTAAGGAAACTGCAATTATTGATGATGAAATTGAAGAGGAGGATGAGGTGCCGGAAAGTGATAATGATGATGATGATGATGATGATGATGATGCTCGTGACCGATCTGTAAGCTGCGAGGAGTTTGATAAAATTATGGCATACAGTGATAAAATTTGCAACGACCTTTTACGAGAATCTACATCAACTGCGGCGGAAGAATCGTCTGATGACAAGTCTGTGACCCTTGATAACATTTCTCAGTTTAGCTCGGAGTCAGATTCAGTGTCAGAGTACTCAAACTTTCTTCTTTCCAGGATTCTTAATGATGCAGGCTTAAATGGTGTATCTAAAGATCTGGACAATACCTTTGTCATGTCAAGGAATAGTAGGAACTTTCTCGAAATGCAAGGAATTGAGTCAGTAGCAGACAGTAGTTCAGAAAGTAGTTCAAGATCGTCAAGAACTAACGAAGAAGGAATACCTTCTTCAGCAAACCGCGTTTCAGGGATCTCTCTGGCTTCAACTTTGAGTGCAACTTCAGATGGTTCCACTGACAGTGAAAGTCTTTCTGTAACACCAACTGTGACTGTGACAGACAGCGGGGAGACACTTTACAAGTTTCCATCTACCAAAGAAGAAAGTAACACACCTGATGTTGTTCATAAACCATACCGTAGTAATGGTGGGCTTGAGTCTATTAGAGAAGTTTCTGATTCTACCGAAAATGACAATCACAAAGGTGCTGATGATTCTGATGAAAGTTCCTTAAAATCAGAGGGGAAGAAGGTTGATTCAGAGCCTGAAGAAAATGATCAAAAAAATGGGAAAATTTCATCCGTAATTCAGTGCAATGGCAAGGTAGATTCTAAAAGAACTCACCCTTCAGTACAAGGAACGAATTCTGGATCATCATCCTCAAGAGGCAGCAAAGACTATTCTTATGATCCAAAATTCTTTTGCGGAAGGAAAGAGAGTAATGCAAGCACACAAAGTGTGGATTCAAATTTGGAGGATGACGAAGAGCGAGATGTCATCAGTGAATTTAAGAAACGAGAGGAGAAACTGGCCAGCTTTGGAAGTTCACTGAGACTTAATATGGTTGGGGGCAAGAAGGTGGGTACAGAAAGTGATTCAAAGTATTTTGATAGAGCTCCTTTGATCAAAACTGTAACAAAATTCATGCACTCGATTTGCTCTCAGCAGCCTGATTTGAGTCCTTATGGGACAATATATTTGTCATGTTCGTAATAGGACTGTGTAATAGGACAGTTTAGGCGATAAGCTGAAATATACAATCATGTGGTTTGATTGGTTCTTACTTATGATCTATGAGGACAGATGCAAAGATGACATCACCATAAACAAAATATTGTTTTTTTCTATCATATAAAACAAATAGATTCTATGTTGCCATGGGTCTGTACCCCAATAGATTACAGAAGACATCATGATGTAAAAAGAAGATTAGCAACACATTTAGCCGCAACTCATATGCCACTTTTTTGTTCTTCTAACATTTGACTTCTACAATCTAATCTTTTTTTTTGACTAACCATACTTTGAAATTTTTGTAAAGACATCAAGGGCAGCCAGTCTCACTCCCGAAGACTTGGAATGCTTAGCACAAATGACTACCACTTCAACCACTGGAAGCATTCATCCCTTCTTGTCATCATTGGTCAATTACATTCATCCAGTACCATTTACTGGATTTGACGAAGCAGAAAGTAGGTTGAGACATGTTACTGTCTAGTTGTTAGTGTAAATAGAAACCAAAAAGATGGTAAATTTTAAGCTCTGTCATCCCATTCATTTTTTATGGATAAATAAAAAGAAAGATATCTGACTCATTTTGCACTCCAGTGCTCTGCCATTGATCCATAGAGAACTCTTTGACGAAAGAAGTGCACCAGTTACATGATGAATCATTTACTGACTAAGTAAGCTAGGGCAAGACTGGAAAAAAAATTGGCTCTTGGTGCTCGAGTCAAATATCTTCCTACAGGACTCTCCCGCTTAGTCACACACCCTTAGTAATCTAAAACAGGGGTTAACCCATGGCTTTACTTTAATCTTCAGTGTTAAACCCACCTCTGATGAACTCCATTAGGTGATACAGTGTCGACGTAAATTAGAGAAGAAATGTGTTTGTTAGTATTATTTGTGCAGTGTAAGGTAGCTTCTTGCTGAAGAAATCAGACAATTAGTTTTTGAGCACTTGACTAGAAAGCCAGCTGAGGCAGGTTGTTTTTACCCTTTAAAACCTAACATCAGTATGTTGACAAGGAGAATTTATTTAACAGTTAAGAGCTCCGACCTTTGGTTGGTGATCTTCTCCTCTATTCTCATGGTTTTTGTGTTTGATTCAGGGGTGATATAGTAAGGAGAAATTAGATGCCAGTCACTCTCAAGGGTTGAAGGGTTTTGAAGAAATGTAAAATGGTTTCCATGTTTACATAGCCTGATGTAAACACGTGGGATGTTGGGAGAACATGAGATAAGCGTAGGAAACCACTCTGCTTCGCGTCATGGTTTCCAGCTTATCTCGTGTTCTCCCAACCTCCCAAGTGTTTACATCAGGCTATGGAAACATGGAAACCATTTTACATTTCTTTTATAAAATAACTAATGAAAGAGTAACGAAAACCATGTTTACATATGCTCATGTAAAATAGTTTTATGGCCAATCAGAGCATGTGTACTATTTGAATTATTTTATAAAAACATTTCATTCATATTTAGAAGTTTGAACTGTCTTTGTAATTTTTTCAGTTTGTCCTTGTCTTGAGGCATTAGACACAGCAAATAGTCAATCCTGATATTTGGCTCTTCACATTAAAAAATTATTACAGACCAGCTGCTAACCACCCAGCAATTGCAGGTGGTCAGTTACTAGATCATTTTGTTTATTACTTGCCCTCTTTTCTTGCAGAAAAGAACTTGTCTCATCACATCTCATCATTTAATGAGTCTACTGGGTTTGGTTTACTGAAAGCAAGTCCAGTAGAATTTGTCAGGTATCCTTTTGTTCGAAGATGTTAGTCTGCGTGTTGAACTATTTTCTGCAGAACAGCAACTATGTTGTTTGAGCCTCTCCCTTTATTTTTTTTATGAATTTCCTTGTTTAATTTTTGTTGTCAGTACCCCTTTTTATTTACTCATTGACATAATTTTTCTAGCCTTTTTCCCAACATCTTAATGTAATGTAAATTCTTGTGATGTATTGTAGTTTTGTTATTGTGCAACAATAAAAATTAGAAGTAATGGTAATAATAGTAATGATAATAATTTGAGAAAAGAATTATAATTTGGAAAAACAAAATTGTTGTCAGTAAAAAAACATAGACTAGTTTGCATCTTAGTAAATGAAACTGAAAGACAAACAAAACAAATGATAAAAGTGATCTTTATCCAATGTAATAGTGATCTGAAAACTGTAGGGTGATGTTTATTTTTGGCAATTTTTATTCTGAGATTTTATGCTTACTGGAAACGTTTGCTAATTGAGTAAAAACCGTTGACTGTTCTTGACTTTTTATGAAGATATAACAAACGTCAGATGTCAAGGATCTACCCGAGGGGGAGTAGGGTGGAATCAAGCAACTACATGCCACAGGTAAAGCGAGTTTGGTTTTTGGAATGGCAAATCTGATTAAGTTTGGTACTTAGGGAAATATTAATTTGGGGTGTTTTATTACAAAGCTTAGTTAGAATAAATAAACTTGAAACCCAAATATGCAACCTATTTTCTAGAGAACTAGGTTCTGACAGTCACAGTTCTCAAAAAGATTTTGAGAACAGACCTGTTTAACATGTACTTAGATAGGCCGCACAAAAGGTCTCGTGGTGTAAAGACTTCTTGGTTTTTTCCAGGCTCTGTGGTATGCAACTGGACTTTTTGCCCTTGTTTGGTTTTCTCTGCCTTTTCTGCCATCTTGTTATTAAAATATAATTTGTGGAAGTTGAATATATAATTGTCTTACTTCTTACAATCCTTTTCAGGTGTTCTGGAATGTTGGTTGCCAAATGGTCTCTCTCAACTTTCAAACATCAGGTATCATTAGAGGCAACAGTTACTAATTGAAGCATTTTCTTTTTATCAGCATCATGTGTCCATTTGAAATTTATCTTTAGTATTGGAATTGCACTTGATTACTTGAGGAGAGCAAGCACTTGTACAAAAGACCATTTTCTCCTTTTTAGTGAGGCTTATTTCTACAAGATCATTTTGTAAAAGTGCTTCATATGCTTGAAACTATGAGTTTGAATGCTTTTCCATTTTTCATCTCATCAGACTTAGCCTTTCAACTGAATGATGGAAAATTTGAATACAACAAAAGATGCGGGTATGGCATTAAACTTTATTGTGTGTACAGTTGTGGACATCTAGACTAGTGAAGGGATGTAGTCTTTTTAGAGTAGACTTGTGATGGAAGGGGTATGGGTTAAAACCTTTTCTGGGCCATTGATGAGTACTCTAAGTAATAAATCATTCCATGTTTCTAAGATGTTGTGACAGTTTGGGCAAAATGAGTTTATTGAAATGCTGATTCAGAAGTAATTACAGGACAATAAACCAAGAACATAACTAAGATAAGTAACACTTAAACAGCAGAAAATAAGTTCAGAAACAAATTTTGAATATATTAGGGTGCGAGGGGTAGGTAAGAGCTTATGTCTCCTCTCTGAATCTTACAAAAGATGAAACACAAAGACTCAGGCACCTGTATATAAGAAACAGCTGATATCTCTTTCATTAGTTGATTAACCATCATTAATCAATGGTTTCTCCACTCAGCTCTATCACTTTGTCCCTCGGTTACCGGTCACC